GCAAGCTCGTGGACCAGGCAAGATTCTGGACCAGGCAAGCTCATGGACCAAGCAAGCTCCTGGACAAGGCAAGCTCCTAGACCAGGCACGCTCGTGGACCACGCACGCTCTTGGACCAGGCAAGCTCTTGGGCTAGGCAAGCTCGTGGACCATGCAAGCTCCTGGACTAGGCAAGCTCCTGGACCAGGCAAGCTCCTAGAAGGCAAGCTCCTTGACCAGGCAAGCTCCTGGACCAGGCATGCTCCTGGACCAGGCAAGCTCCTAGACCAAGCAAGCTCTTGGACTAGGCACGCTCCTTGACCTGGCAAGCTCTTGGACTAGGCAGGCTTCTGGACCAAGCAAGCTCCTGGACCAGGCACACTCCTAGACCAGGCACGCTCCTTGACAAGGCAAGCTCCAGGACCAAGCAAGCTCCGGGATCAGGCACGCTCGTGGACCAGGCACGCTCGTGGACCAGGCAAGCTCTTAGACCAAGCAGGCTCGTGGACCAGGCACGCTCCTCGACCAGGCAAGCTCCTGGACCAGGCAAGCTCCTGGACCAGGCAAGCTCCTAGACTAGGCACGCTCATGGACCAGGCAAGATCCTGGACCAGGCAAGCTCCTAGACTAGACAAGCTCCTGGACCACGCAAGCTCTTGGACCAGGCACGCTCCTTGACGAAGCAAGCTCTTGGACCAGGCAAGCTTCTGGACCAAGCAAGCTCGTGGACCAGGCAAGCTCCTTGACCAAGCAAGCTCCTGGTCCAAGCAAGCCCCAGGACCAGGCTAGCTCCTGGACCAAGCAAGCTCCTTGACCTGGCAAGCTCCTGGACCACGCAAGCTCTCGGACCAGGCATGCTCGTGGACCAGGCAAGCTCTTGGACTATGCAGGCTTCTGGACCAAGCAAGCTCCTGGACTAGGCAAGCTCCTGGACCAAGCAAGCTCCTAGACCAGGCAAGCTCCTGGACCAGGCAAGCTCCTGGACCAGGCAAGCTCCTGGATGAGGCAAGCTCCTGGACCAAGCAAGCTCCTGGACCAGGCACGCTCGTGGACTACGCACGCTCCTGGACCAGGCTAGCTCTTGGACCAGGCATGCTCGTGGACCAGGCATGCTCTTTGACCAGGCAAGCTCCTGGACCAGGCAAGCTCCTAGACCAGGCAAGCTTTTGGACCTGGCACGCTCCTGGACCGATTAAGCTCCAGGACAAGGCAAGCTCTTGGACCACGCAAGCTCTTGGACCAGGCACGCTCCTGAACCAGGCAAACTCTTGGACCAGGCACGCTTCTGGACCAAGCAAGCTCCTAGACCAGTAAAGCTCCTGGACCAGGCACGATCCTGACCAGGCAAGCTCCTGGACCAGGCAAGCTCCTGGAGCAGGCAAGCTCCTAGACCTGGCAAGCTCCTGGACCAGGCAAGCTCTTGGACCAGGCAAGCTTCTGGACCAAGCAAGCTCCTGAACAAGGCAAGCTCATGGACCACGCAAGCTCGTGGACTGGGCAAGCTCTTGGACCAAGCAAGCTCCTAGACCAGGCAAGCTCCTGGACCAGGCAAGCTCCTGTACTAGGCACGCTCGTAGTCCAGGCACGCTCCTGGACCAGGCAAGCTCTTGAACCAAGCAGGCTCGTGTACCAGGCAAGCTATTGGACTAAGCAAGCTCTTGGACCAGGCAGGCTCGTGGACCATGCATGCTCTTGGACTAGGCAGACTCTTGGACCAAGCAAGCTCCTGGACCAGGCAAGCTCCCGGACCAGGCAAGCTCCTTGACCAGGCAAGCTGCTTGACCAGGCAAGCTCCTACACGAGGCACGCTTGTGGACCATGCATGCTCCTGGACCAGGCAAGCTCCTTGACCAGGCAAGCTAACGGACAAAGAATGCTCCTGGACAAGGCAAGCTCCTGAACCAGGCAAGCTCCTGGACCAGGCAAGCTCATGGACCAGTCAAGCTCCTAGACCAGACACGCTCCTGGACCATGCAAGCTCCTAGACCAGGCAAGCTCCTGAACCAGGCAAGCTCCTAAACCAGGCAAACTCGTGGACCAAGCATGCTCCTGGACCAGGCAAGCTCCTGGACCAGGCAAGCTCCTTGACCACGCGAGCTCCTAGGCCAGGCAAGCTCTTGGACCAGGCACGCTCCAAGACCAGGCAAGCTCCTAGACCAGGCAAGGTCCTAGACCAGGCAAGCTCCTGGACCAAGAAAGCTCGTGGACCAGGCACGCTCCTGGACCAGGCAAGCTCTTTGACCAGGCCAGCTCCTGGACCAGGCAAGCTACTGGACCAGGCAAGCTCCTGGACTAGGCAAGCTCGTGGACCAGGCACGCTCCTGGACAAGGCAAGCTCCTCGACCAGGCAAGCTCCTGGACCACGAAAGCTCCTAGACCAGGCAAGCTCGTGGATTAGGCACGCTCCTGGACCAGGCAAGCTCCTGGACCAAGCAAGCTTCTGGAACATGCAAGCTCCTGGACCTGGCAAGCTCGTGGACCAGGCAAGATTCTGGACCGGGCAAGCTCATGGACCAAGCAAGCTCCTGGACGAGGCAAGCTCCTAGACCAGGCACGCTCCTGGACCACGCACGCTCTTGGACCAGGCAAGCTCTTGGGCTAGGCAAGCTCGTGGACCATGCAAGCTCCTGGACTAGGCAAGCTCCTGGACCAGGCAAGCTCCTAGAAGGCAAGCTCCTTGACCAGGCAAGCTCCTGGACCAGGCACGCTCCTGGACCAGGCAAGCTCCTAGACCAGGCAAGCTCTTGGACTAGGCACGCTCCTTGATCTGGCAAGCTCTTGGACTAGGCAGGCTTCTGGACCAAGCAAGCTCCTGGACCAGGCACACTCCTAGACGAGGCACGCTCCTTGACAAGGCAAGCTCCAGGACCAAGCAAGCTCCGGGATCAGGCACGCTCGTGGACCAGGCACGCTCGTGGACCAGGCAAGCTCTTAGACCAAGAAGGCTCGTGGACCAGGCACGCCCTGGACCAGGCAAGCTCCTGGACCAAGCAAGCTCTTAGACATGGCACGCTCCTTGACCAAGCAAGCTCTTGGACTAGGCAAGCTTCTGGACCAAGCAAGCTCCTGGACCAGGCAAGCTCCTCGACCAAGCAAGCTCCTGGTCCAAGCAAGCCCCAGGACCAGGCTAGCTCCTGGACCAAGCAAGCTCCTTGACCAGGCAAGCTTCTGGACCACGCAAGCTCTCGGACCAGGCATGCTCGTGGACCAGGCAAGCTCTTGGACCAGGCAGGCTTCTGGACCAAGCAAGCTCCTGGACTAGGCAAGCTCCTGGACCAAGCAAGCTCCTAGACCAGGCAAGCTCCTGGACCAGGCAAGCTCCTGGACCAGGCAAGCTCCTGGACGAGGCAAGCTCCTGGACCAAGCAAGCTCCTGGACCAGGCACGCTCGTGGACTACGCACGCTCCTGGACCAGGCTAGCTCTTGGACCAGGCATGCTCGTGGACCAGGCATGCTCTTGGACCAGGCAAGCTCCTGGACCAGGCAAGCTCCTAGACCAGGCAAGCTTTTGGACCAGGCACGCTCGTGGACCTGGCACGCTTCTGGACCGATTAAGCTCCAGGAAAAGGCAAACTCTTGGACCACGCAAGCTCTTGGACCAGGCACGCTCCTGAACCAGGCAAACTTTTGGACCAGGCACGCTTCTGGACCAAGCAAGCTCCTAGACCAGTAAAGCTCCTAGACCAGGCACGCTCCTGACCAGGCAAGCTCCTGGACCAAGCAAGCTCCTGGACCAGGCAAGCTCCTGGACCTGGCAAGCTCGTGGACCAGGCAAGCTCTTGGACCAGGCAAGCTTCTGGACCAAGCAAGCTCCTGAACAAGGCAAGCTCATGGACCAGGCAAGCTCGTGGACCAGGCAAGCTCTTGGACCAAGCAAGCTCCTAGACCAGGCAAGCTCGTGGACCAGGCAAGCTCCTGGACTAGGCACGCTCGTAGACCAGGCACGCTCTTGGACCAGTCAAGCTCTTGAACCAAGCAGGCTCGTGTACCAGGCAAGCTCTTGGACTAAGCAAGCTCTTGGACCAGGCAGGCTCGTGGACCAGGCAAGCTCTTGGATCAAGCAAGCTCCTGAACCGTGCAAGCTCCTGGACTAGGCACGCTCATGGACCAGGCACGCTCTTGGACCAGGCACGCTCTTGCACCACGCAAGCTCGTGGACCAGGCACACTCCTGGACCTGACAAGCTCCTCGACCAGGCAATTTTGCACACGCTATGCCTTTGTTCTTGTTATTTTGCACACGCTAGACCCTTGTTCTTGCAATTTTGCATACGCTAGGCCCTTGTTCTTGCCATTTTGCACACGCTAGGCCCTTGTTCTTGCTATTTTGAACACGCTAGACCCTTGTTCTTGCAATTTTGCACACGCTAGGCCCTTGTTCTTGCTATTTTGCACACGCTAGGCAATTGTTCTTGCAATTTTGCACATGCTAGGCCCTTGTTCTTGCAATTTTGCACACGCTAGGCCCTTGTTCTTGCTATTTTGCACACGTTAGGCCCTTGTTCTTGTAATTTTGCACACGCTAGGCCCTTGTTCTTGCTATTTTGCACACGCTAGGCCCTTGTTCTTGCAATTTTGCGCACGCTAGGCCCTTGTTCTTGCAATTTTGCACATTCTAGGCCCTTGTTCTTGCAATTTTGCACACGCTAGACCCTTGTTCTTGCAATTTTGCACACGCTAGGCCCTTGTTCTTGCAATTTTGCACCCGCGAGGCCCTTGTTCTTGCTATTTTGCACACGCTAGACCCTTGTTCTTGCTTTTTTTGCGCACGCTAGGCCCTTGTTCTTGCAGTTTTGCACACGCTAGGCCCTTGTTCATGCAATTTTGCACACGCTAGGCCCTTGTTCTTGCAATTTTGCACACGCTAGACCCTTGTTCTTGCAATTTTGCACACGCTATGCCCTTGTTCTTGCTATTTTGCACACGCTAGACCCTTGTTGATGGAAAGCGGGAGAATGGAGCGGGGTGATGGAAAGCGAGAGAATGGGGCGGGGTGATGGAAAGCGGGAGAATGGGGCCGGGTTATGGAAAGAGAGAAAGTAGGGCGAGGTGATGGAAAGCGGGAGAATGGGGTGGTGTGATGGGAAGCGGGAGAATGGGGCGGGGTGATGGAAAGCGGGAGAATAGGGCGGGGTGATGGAAAGCGGGAGAATGGGGCGGGGTGATGGAAAGAGGGAGAATGGGGCGGGGTGATGGAAGGCGGGAGAATGGGGCGGGGTGATGCAAATCGGGAGAATGGGGTGGGGTGATGGAAAGCGGGAGAATGGGGCGGGGTGATGGAAAGCGGGAGAATGGGGCAGGGTGATGGATGGCGGGAGAATGGGGCAGGGTGATGGAAAGAGGGAGAATGGGGCGGGGTGATGGAAAGCGGAAGAATGGGGCGGGTGATGGGAAAGCGGGAGAATGGGACGGGGTGATGGAAAGAGGGAGAATGGGGCGGGATGATGGAAAGCGAGAGAATGGGGCGGGGTGATGGAAAGAGGGAGAATGGGCCGGGGTGATGGAAAGCGGGAGAATGGGGCGGCTTGATGGAAAGAGGGAGAATGGGGAGGGGTGATGGAAAGAGGGAGAATTGGGCGGGGTGATGGAAATCGGGAGAATGGAGCGGGGTGATGGAAAGCGGGCGGGGTGATGGAAAGCGGGAGAATGGGGCGGGGTGATGGAAAGAGGGAGAATGGGGAGGGGTGATGGAAAGTGGGAGAATTGGGGGGGGTGATGGAAAGCGGGAGAATGGAGCGGGGTGATCGAAGGAGGGAAAATGGGGCAGGGTGATGGAATGCAGGAGAATGGGGCGGGGTGATGGAAAGAGGGAGAATGGGGCTGGGTGATGGAAAGCGGGAGAATGGGGCGAGGTGATGGAAAGCGGGAGAATGGGGCGGGGTGATGGAAAGTGGGAGAATGGGGCGGGGTAATGGAAATCGGGAAAATTGGGCGGGAAGACGGAAAGCGGGAGAATGGGGCGGGGTGATGGAAAGAGGGAGAATGGGGAGGGGTGATGGAAAGAGGGAGAATTGGGCGGGGTGATGGAAAGCGGGAGAATGGGGCGGGGTGATAGAAAGCGGGAGAATGGGGCGGGGTGATGGAAAGCGGGAGAATGGGGCGGGGTGATGGAAATCGAGAAAATGGGGCGCGGTGATGGAAAGCGCGAGAATGGGGCGGGGTGATGGAAAGAGGGAGAATGGGGCGGGGTGATGGAAGGCGGGAGAATGGGGCGGGGTGATGGAAAGGGGGAGAATGGGGCAGGGTGATGGAAAGATGGAGAATGGGGCAGGGTGATGGAAGGCGGGAGAATGGGGCGGGGTGATGGAAAGAGGGAGAATGGGGCGGGGTTATAGAAAGCAGGAGAATGGTGCGGGGAGATGGAAAGAGGGAGAATGGGGAGGGGTGATGGAAAGAGTGAGAATGGGGCAGGGTCTTGGAAAGCGGGAGAATGGAGCGAGCGGGGTGATTGAAAGCGGGAGAATGGAGCGGGGTGATGGAAAGCGGGAGAATGGGGCGGGGTGATGGAAAGAGGGAGAATGGGGCCGGGTGATGGAAAGAGGGAGAATGGGGCGGGGTGATGGAAAGCGAGAGAATGGGGCGGGGTGATGGAAAGAGGGAGAATGGGGAGGGGTGATGGAAAGAGGGAGAATTGGGCGGGGTGATGGAAAGCGGGAGAATGGAGCGGGGTGATGGAAAGAGTGAAAATGGGGCAGGGTGATGGAAAGCGGGAGAATGGGGCGGGGTGGTAGAAAGAGGGAGAATGGGGCGGGGTGATGGAAAGCGGGAGAACGGGGCGGGGTGATGGAAAGCGGGAGAATGGGGCGGGGTGATGGAAAGCGGGAGAATGGGGCGGGGTGATGGAAAGCGGGAGAATGGGGCGGGGTGATGGAAAGCGGGAGAATGGGGCGGGGTGATGGAAAGCGGGAGAATAGGGCGGGGTGATGGAAATCGGGAAAATGGGGCGGGGTGATGGAAAGCGAGAGAATAAGGCGGGGTGATGGAAAGAGGGAGAATGGGGCACGGTGATGGATGGCGGCAGAATGGGGCGGGGTGATGGAAAGGGGGAGAATTGGGCAGGGTGATGGAAAGATGGAGAATGGGGCGGGGTGATGGAAGGCGGGAGAATGGGGCGGGGTGATGGAAAGAGGGAGAATGGGGCGGGGAGATAGAAAGCAAGAGAATGGGGCGGGGTGATGGGCAGAGGGAGAATGGGGAGGGGTGATGGAAAGAGTGAGAATGGGGCAGGGTGATGGAAAGCGGGAGAATGGGGCGGGGTGATGGAAAGCGGGAGAATGGGGCGGGGTGATGGAGATCGGAAGAATGGGGCGGGGTGATGGAAAGCGGGAGAATGGGGCGGGGTGATGGAAATCGGGAGAATGGGGCACGGTGATGGAAAACAGGAGAATAAGGCGGGGTGATGGAAAGCGAGAGAATGGGGCGGGGTGATGGATAGAGGGAGAATGGGGAGGGGTGATGGAAAGAGGGAGAATTGGGCGGGGTGATGGAAAGCGGGAGAATGGAGCGGGGTGATGGAAAGAGTGAAAATGGGGCAGGGTGATGGAAAGCGGGAGAATGGGGCGGGGTGATAGAAAGAGGGAGAATGGGGCGGGGTGATGGAAAGCGGGAGAATGGGGCGGGGTGATGGAAAGCGGGAGAATGGGGCAGGGTGATGGAAGGAGGGAGAAGGGGGCGGGGTGATGGAAAGCGGGAGAATGGGGCAGGGTGATGGAAAGCGGGAGAATGGGGCGGGGTGATGGAAGGCGAGAGAATGGGGCGGGGTGTTGGAAAGCGGGAGAATGGGGCGGGGTGATGAAAAGCGGGAGAATGGGGCGGGGTGATGGAAAACGGGAGAATGGGGCGGGGTGATGGAAGGAGGGAGAATGAGGCGGGGTGATGGAAGGAGGGAGAATGGGGCGGGGTGATGGAAAGTGGGAGAATGGGTCGAGGTGATGGAAAGCGGGAGAATGGGGCGTAGTGATGGATAGAGGGAGAATGGGGAGGGGTGATGGAAAGAGGGAGAATTGGGCGGGGTGATGGAAAGCGGGAGAATGGAGCGGGGTGATGGAAAGAGTGAAAATGGGGCAGGGTGATGGAAAGCGGGAGAATGGGGCGGGGTGATATAAAGAGGGAGAATGGGGCGGGGTGATGGAAAGCGGGAGAATGGGGCTGGGTGATGGAAAGCGGGAGAATGGGGCGGGGTGATGGAAAGCGGGAGAATGGGGCGGGGTGATGGAAAGCGGGAGAATGGGGCGGGGTGATGGAAAGCGGGAGAATGGGGCGGGGTGATGGAAAGCGGGAGAATAGGGCGGGGTGATGGAAATCGGGAAAATGGGGCGGGGTGATGGAAAGCGAGAGAATGGGGCGGGGTGATGGAAAGAGGGAGAATGGGGCACGGTGATGGATGGCGGCAGAATGGGGCGGGGTGATGGAAAGGGGGAGAATTGGGCAGGGTGATGGAAAGATGGAGAATGGGGCGGGGTGATGGAAGGCGGGAGAATGGGGCGGGGTGATGGAAAGAGGGAGAATGGGGCGGGGAGATAGAAAGCAGGAGAATGGGGCGGGGTGATGGGCAGAGGGAGAATGGGGAGGGGTGATGGAAAGAGTGAGAATGGGGCTGGGTGATGGAAAGCGGGAGAATGGGGCGGGGTGATGGAAAGCGGGAGAATGGGGCGGGGTGATGGAGATCGGAAGAATGGGGCGGGGTGATGGAAAGCGGGAGAATGGGGCGGGGTGATGGAAATCGGGAGAATGGGGCACGGTGATGGAAAACAGGAGAATAAGGCGGGGTGATGGAAAGCGAGAGAATGGGGCGGGGTGATGGATAGAGGGAGAATGGGGCGGGGTGATGGAAAGTGGGAGAATGGGGCGGGTTGATGGAAAGAGGGAGATTGGGGCGGGGTGATGGAAAGCGTGAGAATTGGGCGGGGTGATGGAAAGAGGGAGAATGGGGCGGGGTGATGGAAAGTGGGAGAATGGGGCGGGGTGATGGAAAGAGGGAGATTGGGGCGGGGTGATGGAAAGCGTGAGAATGGGGCGGGGTGATGGAAAGCGGGAGAATGGGGCGGGGTGATGGAAAGAGGGAGAATGGGGAGGGGTGATGGAAAGCGGGAGAACGGGGCGGGGTGATGGAAAGCGGGAGAATGGGGCAGGGTGATGGAAAGCGGGAGAATGGGGCGGGGTGATGGAAGGCAAGAGAATGGGGCGGGATGTTGGAAAGCGGGAGAATGGTGCGGGGTGATGACAAGCGGGAGAATGGGGCGGGGTGATGGAAAGCGGGAGAATGGGGCGGGTTGATGGAAGGAGGGAGAATGAGGCGGGGTGATGGAAGTAGGGAGAATGGGGCGGGGTGATGGAAAGTGGGAGAATGGGTCGAGGTGATGGAACGCGGGAGAATGGGGCGGGGTGATGGAAAGAGGGAGAATGGGGCGGGGTGATGGAAAGAGGGAGAATGGGGCGGGGTGATGGAAAGCAGGAGAATGGGGCGCGGTGATGGAAAGCGGGAAAATGGGGCGGGGTGATGGAAAGTGGGAGAACGGGGCGGGGTGATGGGAAGCGGGAGAATAGGGCGCGGTGATGGAAAGCGGGAGAATGGGGCGCGGTGATGGAAAGCGGGAGAATGGGGCGGGGTGATGGAAAGCGGGAGAATGAGGCCTTGTGATGGAAAGCGGGAGAATGGGGCGGGGTGATGGAAAGCGGGAGAATGGGGCACGGTGATGGAAAGCGGGAGAATGGGGCGGGGTGATGGAAAGAGGCGGGAGAATGGGGTGGGCTGATGGAAAGCGGGAGAATGGGGCAGGGTGATGGAAAGCGGGAGAATGGGGCGGGGTGATGGAAAGCGGGAGAATGGGGCGGGGTGATGGAAGGCGGGAGAATGGGGCGGGCCGATGGAAAGTGGGAGAATGGGGCGGGGTGATGGAAGGAGGGAGAATGGGGCGGGGTGATGGAAGGAGGGAGAAGGGGGCGGGGTGATGGAAAGCGGGAGAATGGAGTGGGGTGATGAAAAGCGAGAGAATGGGGCAGGGTGATGGAAAGCGGGAGAATGGGGAGGGCTGATGGAAAGCGGGAGAATGGGGCGGGGTGATCAAAGGAGGGAGAATGGGGCGGGGTGATGGAAGGAGGGACAATGGGGCGGGGTGATGGAAAGTGGGAGAATGTGGCGGGGTGATGGAAAGCGGGAGAATGGGGCGGGGTTATGGAAAGCGGGAGAATGGGGCAGGGTGATGGAAAGAGGGAGAATGCGGCGGGGTGATGGAAAGCGGGAAAATGGGGCGTGGTTATGGAAAGCGGGAGAATGGGGCGGGGTGATGGAAGGAGGGAGAATGGGGCGGGGTGATGGAAGGAGGGAGAAGGGGGCGGGGTGATGGAAGGAGGGAGAAGGGGGCGGGGTGATGGAAAGAGGGAGAAGGGGGCGGGGTGATGGAAAGCGGGAGAATGGAGTGGGGTGATGAAAAGCGAGAGAATGGGGCAGGGTGATGGAAAGCGGGAGAATGGGGAGGGCTGATGGAAAGCGGGAGAATGGGGCGGGGTGATCAAAGGAGGGAGAATGGGGCGGGGTGATGGAAGGAGGGAGAATGGGGCGGGGTGATGGAAAGTGGGAGAATGTGGCGGGGTGATGGAAAGCGGGAGAATGGGGCGGGGTTATGGAAAGCGGGAGAATGGGGCAGGGTGATGGAAAGAGGGAGAATGCGGCGGGGTGATGGAAAGCGGGAAAATGGGGCGTGGTTATGGAAAGCGGGAGAATGGGGCGGGGTGATGGAAAGCGGGAGAATGGGGCGGGGTGATGGAAAGCGGGAGAATGGGGCGGGGTGATGGAAGTAGGTAGAATGAGGCGGGGTGATGGAAGGAGAAGAATGGGGCGGGGTGATGGAAAGCGGGAGAATGGGGCGGGGTGATGAAAAGCGGGAGAATGGGGCGGGGTGATGGAAAGCGGGAGCATGGGGCGGGGTGATGGAAGGAGGTAGAATAAGGCGGGGTGATGGAAGGAGGGAGAATGGGGCGGGGTGATGGAAAGTGGGAGAATGGGGCAGGGTGATGGCAAGCGGGAGAAGGGGGCGGGGTGATGGAAAGCGGGAGAATGGGGTGGGGAGATGGAAAGCGGGAGAAAGGGGCAGGCTGATGGAAAGCGGGAGAATGGGGCAGGCTGATGGAAAGCGGGAGAATGGGGCGGGGTGATGGAAGGATGGAGAATGGGGCGGGGTGATGGAAGGAGAGAGAAGGGGGCGGGGTGATGGAAAGTGGGAAAATGTGGCGCGGTGATGGAAACCGGGAGAATGGGGTGGGGTTATGGGAAGCGGGAGAATGGGGCGGGGTGATGGAAAGCGGGAGAATGGAGCGGGGTGATGGAATGAGGGAGAATGGGGCGGGGTGATGGAAGGAGGGAGAATGGGGCGGGGTGATAGAAAGCGGGAGAATGGGGCGGGGTGATGGAAGGAAGGAGAATGGGGCGGGGTGATGGAAAGCGGGAGAATGGGGCGGGGTGATGGAAAGCGGGAGAATGGGGCGGGGTGATGGAAAGAGAGCGAATGGGGCGGGGTGATGGATGGAGGGAGAACGGGGAGGGGTGATGGAAAGCGGGGGAATGGGGCGGGATGATGGGAAGCGGAAGAATGGGGCGGGGTGATGGGAAGCGGGAGAATGGGAAGGGGTGATGGAAAGCGGGAGAATGGGGCGGGGAGATGGAAAGCGGGAGAATGGGGCGGGGTGATGGAGAGCAGCAAAATGGGGCGGGGTGATGGAAAGTGGGAGAATGGGGCGTGGTGATGGAAAGAGGGAGAATGGGGCGGGGTGATGGAAGGAGAGAGAAGGGGGCGGGGTGATGGAAAGTGGGAGAACTTGGCGGGGTGATGGAAAGCGGGAGAATGGGGTGGGGTTATGGGAAGCGGGAGAATGGGGCGGGGTGATGGAAAGAGGGAGAATGGGGCGGGGTGATGGAAGGAGGGAGAATGGGGCGGGGTGATGGAAGGAGGGAGAATGGGGCGGAGTGATGGAAAGCGGGAGAATGGGGCGGGGTGATGGATGGAGGGAGAATGGGGCGGGATGATGGAAAGCGGGAGAATGGGGCGGGGTGATTGAAAGCGGGAGAATGGGGCGGGTGATGGAAAGCGGGAGAATGGGGCAAGGTGACGGAAATCGGGAGAATGGGGCGGGGTGATGGAAAGCGGGAGAATGGGGCGGGGTGATGGAAGGAGGGAGAATAGGGCGGGGTGATAGAAAGCGGGAAAATGTGACGGAAAGTGATGGAAGCAACGAGAATGGGGAGGGGTGATGGAAAGCGGGAGAATGGGGCGGGGTGATGGAAAACGTGAAAATGGGGCGGGGTGATGGAAAGTGGGAGAATGGGGCGGGTTGATGGAAGGCAGGAGAATGGGGCGGGGTGATGGAAGGAGGGAGAATGGGGAGGGGTGATGGAAAGCGGGAGAACGGGGCGGGGTGATGGAAAGCGGGAGAATGGGGAAGGGTGATGGAAAGCGAGAGAATGGGGCGGGGTGATGGAAAGCGGGAAAATGGGGTGGGGTGATGGAAAGCGGGAGAATGGTTTGGGGTGATGGAAAGGAGGGAGAATGGGGCGGGGTGATGGAAGGTGGGAGGATGGGGTGGGGTGATGGAAAGCGGGAGAATGGGGCGGGGTGATGGAAAGCGGGAGAATGGGGCGGGGTGGTGGAAAGCGGGAGAATGGGGCGGGGTGATGGAAACCAGGAGAATGGGGCGGGGTGATGGAAAACGGGAAAATGGGGCAGGGTGACGGAAAGCGGGAGAATGGGGCGGGGTGATGGAAGGCAGGAGAATGGGGCGGGGTGATGGAAGGAGGAAGAATGGGGTGGGTTGATGGAAAGAGGGTGATTGGGGCGGGGTGATGGAAAGCAGGAGAATGGGGCGGGGCGATGATAAGCGGGAGAATGGGGCGGGGTGATGGAAAGCGGGAGAATGGGGCGGGGTCATGGAAAGCGGGAGAATGGGGTGGGGTGATGGAAAGCGGGAGAATGGGGCGGAGTGATGGAAAGCGGGAGAATGGGGCGGGGTGATGGAAAGCAGGAGAATGGGGCAAGGTGGTGGAAAGCGGGAGAATGGGGCGGGTTGATGGAAAGCAGGAGAATGGGGCGGGGTGATGTAAGGAGGGAGAATGGGGCGGGGTGATGGAAGGAGGGAGAATGGGGCGGGGTGATGGAAGGAGGGAGAATGGGGCGGGCTGATAGAAAGCAGGAGAATGGGGCGGGGTGATAGGAAGCGAGAGAATGGGGCGGGGTGATTGGAAAGCGAGAGAATGGGGCGGGGTGATGGAAAGCGGGAGAATGGGGCGGGGTGATGGAAAGCGGGAGAATGGGGCGGGGTGATGGAAAGCGGGAGAATGGGGCAGGATGATGGAAAGCGGGAGAATGGGGCAGGATGATGGAAAGCGGGAGAATGGGGAGGGGTGATGGAAAGCGGGCGAATGGGGCGGGGTGATGGAAGGCAAGAGAATCGGGCGGGGTGATGGTAGGAGGGAAAATGGGGCGGGGTGATGGAAGGAGGGAGAATGGGACGGGGTGATGGAAAGCGGGAGAATGGGGCTGGGTGATAGGAAGCGGGAGAACGGGGCGGGGTGATGGAAAGCGTTACAATGGGGCGGGGTCATAGAAAGCGGGAGAATGGGGCGTGGGTGATGGAAGAAGGGAGATTGGGGCGGGGTGATGGAAGCAACGAGAATGGGGAGGGGTGATGGAAAGCGGGAGAATGGGGCGGGGTGATGGAAAACGGGAAAATGGGGCGGGGTGATGGAAAGTGGGAGAATGGGGCGGGGTGATGGAAGGAAGGAGAATGGGGGGGGTTGATGGAAGGAGGGAGAATGGGGCGGGGTGATGGAAAGAGGGAGAATGGGGTGGGGTGATGGAAAGCGGGAGGATGGGGCGGGGTGATGGAAAGCGGGAGAATGGGGCGGGGTGATGGAAAGCGGGAGAATTGGGCGGGGTGATGGAAAGCGGGAGAATGGGGCAGGGTGATGGAAAGCGGGAGAATGTGGCGGGGTGATGGAAAGTGGGAGAGTGGGGCGGGATGATGGAAAGCGGGAGAATGGGGTGGGGTGATGGAAAGCTGGAGAATGGGGCGGGGTGATGGAAAGCAGGAGAATGGGGCGCGGTGATGGAAAGTGGGAGAATGGGGCAGGGTGATGGAAAGCGGGAGAAGGGGGCGGGATGATGGAAAGCGGGAGA